ATATCTCGCTTGTGTTGCCTGCAGGCAGGTGCTGACAAGGATTCAGGATGGACCATGTCACTGCAGCAACTATGGGTAGCCCTTCAGGGGCTGACTTCCTTTTTTTTTTTTTTTTTTTGGGTAGCCTGTGAATTTTTTTTTTTTTTTATACACCTCCTGTGCGATTGGAAGCGATCTGTTCTGCAGCTCCTTTTACTTGCTATGTAAACAGGAGTTTTCCTAAAGTGCTCCAGCCACAGCTCCTGACAGCTGCACTGGGCTTAAAGCTTGCCCTTTCTGGGGTTTCCCTTGTTTATGTACAAAACTGAAAATGGCAGGTACCGTTCAATCAGATGTTCTCCCCATACATGACTGCATCTTTCTAGTGAGAGGTTTGAAGTTAAACTCTGCATCCTTTCACCCAGAAATCTGTTATGTTTAATCCAGGCAATCAACAGTCTTGTCAGAGGGTTGCAACCTTGAAAAACAAGAGGTAAAACATCCATTTACCTCCTTATTTGAACACCTTATAGTTGTGTAATGAACAGCCTTCATCTAGGTTATGCACAATTTAAATGCATGTTCAGGATTAATTTGGAGAGGCGGCTGTTGTGTGTTATGCGCTTAAATCACTTCTGCAGCTGGTTTCTGTAACTTCCTCTTCTCTGGTCCTCAGTGAGCTGAGTTACTAGTCTGCAGCAGTTTTTATTTCTCTTTCTGGGAGCATCTTGCCCATGTTAGTCCAAGCTTGTGTTGGTCTCTGAGTTCATGTCTGCTGCTTAGGGGTGATTGCATCCATTCAGGTATAACTTGTAGCCATTGGGATTCTGTTAAAACCTATCTTTTGAGACTACTATGCTACAACCACCAGGGCTGGCCAAGTAATTTAAGATGTCCTTGAATGTCAGCATTGATTCCCAACTGACCTTAGGCTGTTGGTCTCTTTTTGAACTACACGGGATGCTTTCCATTTTCAACCCCTCCTTCCCCCTCCCCCCCCCAAAAAAAACAAAAAACCCAACCCGAAAAACCCTTCCTATGCTGCCAGATGTGCCAAGGGGATGGATGGTCTCTCTTCTCACTGGAGTTGGGGAGCTCTTTTAGCCCATTGTGTTACTAAGCTCGGAAGTAGAAATCAAATGCACCTTGCTGGCCTTCAGTGAGTTAAGGCACTACCTGGAATTTGCTTCCATGAAAGCCATGTACAGCCTCACCCTACTGCACATCTTAAACCAGGGGTGGGCAAAATGCAGCCCGCGGGCCAGATGCGGCCCACCAAGCCATTCTATCTGGCCCTCAGGGCCCCTAAAAATCTAGAAAATTAATATTTAGCTGCCCCTGGCTGCCTGTTATGTGGCCCTCAATGGCTTGCCAAAACTCAGTAAGTGACCTTCCACCCAAAATAATTGCCCACCCCTGTCTTAAACCATGCGCTGCGTGCAACTTCCATCTCTTCTGAAATGGAGCTCTGTTCTGTAGCGCGATGGCTGCCTGCACCTTGTGTGTTCAGGCTCTGGAATTTCATCTTAATGCTTGCTATGCACAGCTTGTTTCTCCTTAAATCTGTTTAATGTGTCATTTTAGTGCTGCATTTATTTCAGATGTTCGAGTTGGTATCTTGGGGCTAATAGTTGGCTGATTTGATTGGAATCACAGAGCTCTGGGAAGCTTGAGAAGAGCTTCCATATAAATGCAAATGCTATCACTTCTGTTCAGCAGAGCTGCTGTGAATAAACTTCATTGCAGTAAGAAGGTACTTAACTGTTGAAGGCACATGCTGAGGGGCAAGTCTGAAATTTAAAGAGGAAGACTCTTCTCAAGAAGCAAATTCTCAGCCAGTCTTGGTTTTAACCACAATGGCCAAGACTAACTGGACTTGCTTCCCTATGCTGGCCTCTGGAAAACACATGAGCTTTTTGTGTGACAAATAAGAAGGAGGCTCTCATCCTTTAAAAAAAATGAAAGAGTAATGCGTCTGGAAAGGTTAACTGAATTATTCACTCCTTGTGTATGCTCCATGGTGCTGGATTGACAGCTCTGCAGGTAGATGCTCCTTAGCAGCAGAGAGCACAACCTGCACATTAACAGTAGTCTGCACCTGCACTGCCTTGGCAGTGTCCTCGCTGACCTGGATGGCAGCCACCTGGGAATTAGATACTGTAGTTCAAAAGGGAATTAATTCAGGAAGACCTATAGCTTCAGTTACTCGGGAGATCAAACTAGAAATAAATGCAGTGTTTCCTTCTGGCTTTGAAATGAGCTGAGGTCTTCCCAGTTTCATTCATGCAGTTTACTGCTCAGCCTCTATATAGTTTAGTGGTCTTTAGATACCTTCAGACTCTGATCCATCAGTTGTGTAAATTAGAATTAAATTGCTTATGGGACTGGGGTTCTGAAATGGGGTTTGAGGTCAACAGTGGTATTTTAAAGGGCTATATAGGTGTGTTCATGAATGATACTGTACACCTTTAGGTAACACAAACTGACTGCATCACTGACACAACCAGTTGTGAAGGGCTAGCACTACATAGACACTGGGGAAGAGGTGACTTGGAGCTAGTGAGCCCACCACATAAGAGGACTAGGCTGTTGGTCATGTATTTGCCCAATAGGTGCTTACTAGGCAAATGGTAATGGTCAAGTGGGGCCTAGTCCTTTCTGTTCCACGATTTTGGATTCTTCAAACACCTGTCTTGGGCTTAACTTCTATTGTTCTTGCTCCTGAGCTGGAGAGCAAAAAAAAAAAAAATATATTGTCCTTTTCTGAGGGTGATACAACATACATGGAGACCACCTAGACTGCCTGGACAGCTAGAAGTGCTCCTGTCTCTCTCAAGGTGAGATTAGAGGGGTAAGGACAAAGTGTGAGCAAGGGGCTTGAAATATATAGCTTTCTGGACGTTTGCTGTCTTGGGGCTGCCATTTATGTCCTTGTAAGGCTCTTCCTGCTGTTATATTAACTTTACCTTCTATTCTCCAGAGTCCGTCATGTTCCATAGACTATGTGGCAGAACAGGGTTTGCCTGCGGCTTGTCATTTCAAGGTGTTAATTAATAGCAGTGCAGTTATTACCAGATAGAGGCCCCTTTTCCACTCTGGGGAGATCAAGATGATCGGAGTGCATTGTCTGAGCAACAGTCTGGAGTTCAGGAAGGAAGACTTAATCAGATTGCCCTCCTGCTCCAGTAGGTAGTAGCAGATTAGCTCATTGCATATGCTTTCATGAAGGAAGCACTTGATTTAAGGTTATGTTTAGCTCTGTTTTAAGAGTTCAGATTGGTTCATGACTAATGCATTTTCTTTCATAGCACAGATGACTTAATTTTGGGATGTGATCTCATCCTATTTTGACTTAGGGTGGGGCTTAGTCGGAGCTTAGAGAAGGAAAACTCCCTCCTACAAAGATCCACTAAGTGACACCTTTTTAATAAGCCAACACAACTTGTGTTGAAAAATGCTTTAGGACTATATGGAGCAACTATGACATTAGATGTGTGTAATATCTACATTTGAGTGGTTTTGCAGGAAAGTTGCTGTAATCCAGGCTTCCATAATCATCTTCAAAACCAGAAGGGTTGTAGCTTTAAAATGCTACTGTATTCTCAAACATCACTTCAGTACACTTTAAAATGCCAAGTGGAAGTTTGTGGCTTGAATGGTATTTAAACATCTGTCTTCAGTAGTTTAGGCCACTGTGGAGCATTAACAGATAGCTTTTCCTAGCTAACGAGCTGAAACATTTTGAACAGTCTTGCCCAGTGGGGCTGTCCTGCAGGTATGTTTGCAGTGGTGGAGTTGGGTTAGTAGTTAATGTGGCCAAGGCTTGACTTGCAGATATGCCGAGTTAAATGGTTTTCTTTTAGTGGAGCAGACTTAAGACTGAATTTGGGCACAGAGCATTTTTCCTCAGCAAGTTGCTGTCTGTTCAATTTTATTTAATGTATTTCCATTTACTGAAGAGTTTGTGCTTTGCAGCTCAGCTCCTGCTGTCTGAGCTTGCAGAGAAGTCATAAACTTGCACTCGTAACATCTGCTTGTTGCTATGGCAATCAAATGTCTTGTCACATTTTAACATTATGATTTCACTAGCAGATCAAGACGAACCAGCAAAAAGTTGGCAAAGGGGATCTGAAGTAGTGAATATGTGCAAGATTTAGCAGGAAATCCTATGTCAAGTAAATGGCAGTTTGTCTGATATGCATCCTTGCTGCCAGCAGCAAAATACATCTTTAGCAGTTAGCTGTATTTTCAGTACCTTCCTGCCACGCCGTAGCATTCTTGGTGCTCTGAAATCCATAACACCTCTCTATCTGCCAAGCAAACTTGGTACGTTTTAGGAACCTGGATTGTGATGGTCTTCCACCTGCTGTTGGTTTTGTAAAGCTGTTTGCCTGACACTCAGAGCCTGACAGAGCTGTCCAGAGCAGTCTCCAAGACGTGCCCTGCCAAGAACAGAGATCGGGATTGTGCAAGTTTCCAAACAGCTGAACTGTCATGTGTCATTCAGCTATTTATATGACTAGCAGGCTAGTAATCTCATACGTAGTACTAAGCCACTTAGAAACAGAAAAAGGGAGGAGGAGTATAGTTGTATCCTGTGTTAACAAACCCCCTAACTTGATAAGCTGCCTTTCAGAGTATGTCCTTACATTTGACTATTTTTTTTTTTTATTTTGCAGGGTGTCTCTATCCTTTGCTGTGTTCCAGTTGTGTAATGTTAGGATGGCAGTATGATCATTCAAATACAGAACACCAGCGCTGCTAGATTTTCAGCGCAATTTAAAATTCATGAATGAGGTTATATCTTGATATTTTTAATATCTTGAAATCACTCAGTGTGAAATACATGCTTAAGAATTTTAGGGGCTTCAGCCCCATCTACCTTCTAAATCAGCTGCTCTTACAGAAGTATGATTACTTTTTTTTCTCTTCCTTTCACTTTTCTCAGCCAGCTCTAATGACTGGGGGTTATATGTAGGTGGAGTTACAGTTGTCCTGTGATCTAATGTTTCATCCTTAGTGAAGAAGACACCTCTCAAATAATTAGTCATGCAGAGCTGATCAGTAGAATGAGGAAAAGTGCCATTGAGTGCCTCCTTGGAAATCTGCCAGTTACTAAACTTCAGATGCATCAGAGAGAGGCCTAAACCAAGGGCATGATCTGACCCAGGCTTCAGGTAGGCCTCACTAATACATCCAGGCTTGTTCTATGACTTAAACTACACATTGGTCTGAGGTCCAGGGCAAAGGCTACAGGACTAGGAATCCAGGCTTGGCTGCAGCACAGTGTAGTGGCTTGTAGGCTGTCTTAGACCTGGTCAGTCTGGAGATAAATGGACCAATGTTTAGGGAAGAGACCAGTGGTAGCCTTTAAGGCCTGAACTCCTGCAAAACCTACCAGGACTCAGTGCTCAAACTGCTGTCATTGCTTTCAGGATGCACAAATCTTTCCAAGCAGCGATCCAAGTGCGCTGTTCCGTCAGGCACTTAGTTCTTTGCTTACTAGCTTCAGAGAAGGTAAGAATGGTGCTGTAACTGATCCAGGGCAGAACAAACTGTTCTTAAGACTGTAATCAGGTTTAAATACTTACTTTACCACTCAGACGCTATACATTTTTTTTTCTGGGTTTGTCGGTATTAAGTAATTGCACATCAACTTGCAATTCCTCCTGATACCCAGTCCCTTCATGCATCTTCTGTTCTTTGGCCCTGGCTCTCAGTTGCACAACTGTGTATATAGTAGGTTTGGGGCTGGCTCTCAGAGGCGTATATATAGCTTTCAGTGGAATACCCCCTCAAGTTTTTTGGCTTGGGGAAGGAATGTCCTCTAAACAGCAGATACTGTAAGAGGATGTCAGGTTCCCTTGCCCCTTGTGATCATCTTAACATTACTTTAAGGTTTCTTTCCCTGCCACAGCGGTCCTTTCGGAGTATGAAACAATCGCATAATATCTGTCTTTTTCTGTTCGTAACTGAGTTTTTTCTGCATGGCTTAATTTGCCATGACATTGAGATGTTGGACTTTTTTGGTACATCTGTCTCAGTATAAAATTACTTTTAACCTTATTCTTGCTATAATAGAAACTGACCCTGAAGCTAGGAAAATGTTTGTCTTCGGTTACACCAGGCTCGAAACTTGCAATTTCCCGTATCCTAAAAACTGTTCAACTTATGCATCTTGATTGAATTGCTCTGATGAGGCACAGAAGCCTAAGGAACATGCTGTTTCCTATGGGTTTGTATCAGGACACTTCCATGCTTTTCTTTCAATTCTTCTGATGGGAACTAAGCAGTAGAAGATCAGCATTTGACAGTTCGGTTTGTACTTTCTCCTTGGAGAATAATGTTTGGTCAGTGAACAGGAAAGTGACCTCAATTGCAATTTCACTTAGGCTTCCTAAGCCACTGTTCATTTTGTAAGGCTAGCAAAGTGGGGAGGACTCTAGAAAGGAAGGTTCCTTGATACAATATTGTCTGCTGAATATGGTGTGGGGGACAAAAAGGCTTAGCTGAACCAGAATACCAAATTTCTCTAGCTCTGAGGCAGTACTGTGCAGGAGGCCCTGTTCAGGAGACTGTGGCTGAATTAAAAAAGAAAAGGCCTCACAGTTAGACACGGAGCTGGTCATGGTCAGCATTGGGACGACACTGGGCAACATGACAGGCTGAAGTCATAGTACACAAGCAGTCTAGTGAGTGTTTTTCTGTAGGCTTTGCAGCAGAGTGTTTGAGAGGGATTGGAAAGAAGGTAACGTAGCTTTGTTGGTGTTTGCATGGAGCTCCTTCCAAGCATCAGTGGTAGCATGGGCAGGGGGAAGCACAAAGGTGAGGCAGGAATTGTGGGCTCTGAGTAAGGCAGTAGGAAAAGCTTTGCACAGGCATCTTACACTTCCTATGGTGGAAAAAGGGAGCCATTGGAGGAAGGCATGGGGAGGCATGTGATCAAAGCAGTGGGTCATAACTGGCTATAATACCTCGGAGAGATCCTTCTGCATCTGGGTGGTTGTTCTTTCTTCTGGTTCGTACTGTTTGCTTTCCCTGTGCCAAGTGGTGGAAAGTCCACCCCCTGACTCTGGAGCAGAATGCGCAGGCACCCAGGTTTCAAATAGTTTTAAGAAGATTGTTGTGAAACAAGTAGCAAAAAAGTTGCTGTTTTCTCATATTTGAGTGCTGTGAAGTAGTCTGGCAAGCTTGGTCTGCATGCCACTTCCAGCTGGGTGAAGCACTACATGTGTGCGGTGTCTCCTCACTCTGAAGAGGGTGTGGAATTAGGCACGTTTCAGGTGAATTTTGCTGGGCTTTCTTGTATCGTGCCCAAACTTCCAGTGCTTTCATGGATATTTCCCCCTCCCCCCCCCCCCCCCCCCAAAATAAAATAAAATAAAATATATAACATGCAACATAGTATCTGAGCCTTTTTGGTCAAGAGTATGACCGTAAACTGCATCAGACTGGAGGGCCTGGCAGTAACATGGCGAGACTGGAGGTTGCAACACTCTGGTATTTTATGGAAGCTACCCTGCCACGAGCAGAGTAAGGTGGGTATAGGGTGCCTTGACCCTAGCCCCCACTGTCCTGTGAGTACGTCTTGGTTGGAGAAAGGGTGTTATTCCTTAGCCTGACAAATGCTCTCGACGTGGCCTTAGGCAGTCAGCAGCAGTTCTTACCTGTTTCTGTCTGGCAGAAACTACAACCATTGAGGCATTGAATGTCTGGACTTGATCTGGCCTTTGGATTCTGTCTTGGTTTAAAGGGGGATGGCAGGTCTTGGGCCACTTCCACTCTTCCATACTCTTGCCTAGGCATGTGTGTCAAAGGTCCTGGTGTGATTGTTGCAGGACTCTGTACAAACGGATTCGTGACTAGACCTCTTATGTGTACACCATGATGCAGAGGATCGACTGTTGCCTGCTACCTAGCCTTTTAAAAGTGGGAGCTCTAATTTGAAAGTCCGTACTTTGCAACATAAAATGCATCTAAGTACAACTTTCAGCTGCTAGCTACACTCCTACACTTCAGAGCAACCTGGTCTACAGAGGCTGAATGTCTGCTGCTTTTTGCAGACAATCAGGTTCTTGGTCTGTTGGCCTTGGAGGATGGAAGAGGGTGGGTGGGCGGCATCTTCAAGGTGCTACTTATAGTGATGGTGATGAAGTGGTATTTGGGCATGATCTGCAGCAGTGTTTCCCAACAAGTTCCAGCCCAAGGCAGTTATATTAATAAATTTTTTCTGTGGCACACCTGTTGAGGCATTCCCCATTCTCATACCTATTGTAGCTCATTCCCATGGCAAAATTCTGTGGCACACCTGTTCATTTCTGACGGCACACTGTGCCGTGGCGCACTGGTTGGGAAACACAGTGATCTACAGTGCTGCATACCCAAGCAGCCTCAGGCACTCTGCCTTCTGGTGGGCAAGGGAACTATTTGAGTATACCCTTCCACAGTGAGAAGCGTACCTCGTATAGTGAAGTCCAAGTCCTGGTTGAGAGAGATTTTTCAGAGCATTACATTTACAGCAGTGCCTGTTGAGCAGCAGTATTCTAAGAGACTGCATCAGGTGTAGGTCAGTAACATTTCCGAGCTTGTAGCTTCTGGATGGGTATTTCAGAAAGCAGTTCTCAGTCTTTTAAATTGGACTGTGCAGTTTCTTGTGACATGTGCTTGCTTTCCTTAATGGCAGGGTGGGCAGGTGAAAGGACAGAGACTAAAGCAAAATCTGATCCTAGTTTTCTGACTTTGTAGAAACCATGGCGAGTCCTGCGAAGGATAATTATCGAATGAAGAGTTACAAAAACAAAGCTCTAAATCCCGAAGAAATGCGCCGGAGAAGAGAAGAGGAGGGAATTCAGCTACGCAAACAGAAACGAGAACAGCAGGTAACCTGCGCTCTGATGATTTGGCTTGGAGAAGTATAGCTTTACCTGAATCAAGTATGCAGTATTGTGCAACAGGAACCGCCCAAGGTCTCCAGTCAGAGTTGCTCACAGTCTTCTCCTCCCATTGCCCCTCCAGCATTTAGACCTGGAATGTTGCTGCTTGCTTTTCACACGCTTGTTCACAACGTGGCTCATGTGAAGAGTGCTCCAAAGGTTCCCATCTCAATCGGAGACCTGCAGGTGCTGTGTATGCCCCTGATGCCACAGTGGAAATCTGTGTCTGCCTTTCTGTGATATTGAATCAGGGGAAGGCTTCCCAGAACCCATGGTGTTGTGGGGTTTTATTTGTTTTCTAAGGACTCTGTCAAAAATCAGAAAATGGATTGTGCTCTTCTGGACCAGAAAAAAGCAAGCAAAAAAAAAAAGTGCTATAGGTTTTCTATATCTTTGTATGCTAGGGCCACATGTAGAATTGGCAGACTGCAAGCTTCCTACACAGCTCTGCCAGTGCATCAGCCCCAGTCTACCACCTCTCCTTCCTTTTTCTCTGTCTCCCTCTCTCTCTCAGACTCACTGGGTCAAATTCTGCACTTGCTTATGCCATAACGTCTCAGTGAAGTAAGTAGGTTCCTTGGGCTTGTCTGAGGGCTAGACTTGCTCCACTGTTGTCTGGTTCACAGGCCAAAATCATCATCTACAGAGATGTAAACTAGTGTTTTAAGTGACTGCTTCTGTATTCAGGTTGTGCTTTGTTCCACAGATTTTTACCTAGACAGGTGTGCCAGTGGTGATATTTCTAAAAGGTGGGTATCGCTTTAGAGCAGGA